CAAATGTGCTTTATACAATTGATGTATGTATGGATTGTGATAAGAGTTGTATGAGCCCCCAATAAAATGATTAAAAAAACAAAAATAAGTGGTCCCCAGAAATGTCAGCACTGACTAAAAATTTTGATCAAATATTCCATAAAATAATCTTTATTAAAAAGAAGGTAGAATGCTGAACAGAATTTATGTACACACACACACACACACATATATATACTTTTCAAGCCTATAGATCATAACATAAACACTATTTGTAAATCATGGGGTTGTGATGAGTCAGAATCCACTTGATGGCAAAGGGTTTCGGTTTTTGTTTGCTTCCAAAAAATCTTACTGCCACCAAGTCAATTCTGACCCACAGTGACTGTATAGGACAAGGTAGAACTGCCTCCATGGGTTTCCAAAACTAACTCTTTACAAAAGTAGAAAGCCTCATTTTTCTGCCCTGCTTGGTGTGACTATTCACCAGGCTGGAAAACCAGCTGCAAAGATAATAAGAAGCAATATTTCTACCAAAGATATGCTGCAACTACAGAGTTTCATAACAATCTCCTTTTCTGACTACTACTTTCTTTTTTTTTGTCCTTAATCATTTTATTGGGGGCCTGTACAACTCTTTGGTTGTTGGTTTGTTTGATTTTTAAATCATTTTATTGGGGGCTTGTACAACTCTTATCACAATTCATGCATATATCCATTTTGTCAAGCACATTTGTACTTTTTTTTGCTATCATCATTTTCAAAACATTTTCTTTCTACCTGAGCCCTTGGTATCAGCTTCTCATTCTTCCCCCTCCCTCCCTCATGAACCCTTGATAATTTATCTTTTTTTTTCATGTCTTACACTGACTGACGTCTCCCTTCACCCACTTTTTTCTTGTCCATTCCCCTGGGAGGGGGTTATATGTAGATAATCGTGATTGGTTCCCCTTTGTCTGCCCACCTTACCCTTACCCTCCTGGTATGGCTACTCTCAATATTGATCCTAAGAGGTTTATCTGTTCTGGATTCGCTGTATTTCTAGCTCTTATCAGTACCCAGGTACATGCTCTGGTCTAGCCAGATTTTTAAGGTAGAATTGGGGTCATGATAGTGGGGGGAAGGAAGCATTAAAGAACTAGAGGAAAGTTGTATATTTCATCGGTGCTATACTGCACCCCGACTAGCTTGTCTCCTCCCCGCAACCCTTCTGTAAGGGGATGTCCAGTTGCCTACAGATGGGCTTTGGGTCTCTACTACACACTCCCCCTCATTCACAATGATACAATTTTTTGCTCTATGTCTTTGATGCCTGATACCTGATCCTATTGACACATCATGATCACACAGGCTGGTGTACTTCTTCCATGAGAGCTTTGTTGCTTCACAGATAGATGGCTGCTTATTTATGTTCAAGCCTTTAAGACCTCAGATCCTATATCTTTTGATAGCTGGGCACCATCAGCTTTCTTCATCCCATTTGCTTATGCACCCACTTTGTCTTTAGTGATTGACTATTTTCTTACACATTGAGAAATTAGGCTTTCTAAAATCACAATCAGAAATTTGA